TGTCCCTTTAGTAGGAGAAAGCAGCAGAATTATCTTTCTGGGGTTCTGAATCATTTGTCCAGTGTGGCGCAGTGTAAGGTCTTGATTGTACTACAGACAAATGCTTTGGGATGTGGAAAGTCATCGGTGTTGTTTGGGCCCTGGGGTCCCCATGCTCTGTGAGAAGCAGCAGTAGACACAGTGGCGGAGCTCTTGGTGCCCGTTCACTCTATTTTGTGAGTGAAGAGCTCAGAATTAAATGCGGAAGAGGAGATTGTGTGACAGTGGTGACTTAACTGTTTTCATTTATTTCTATTGAGCAATATATATATTTTATAAATTTATTTATTTTTGGCTGCATTGGGTCTTTGTTGCTGTGCACAGGCTTTCTCTAGTTGCAATGAGCGGGGGCTTCTCATTGCGGTGGCTTCTCCTGTTGCGGAGCACGGGCTCTAGGTGCGCGGGCTTCAGTAGTTGTGGCACTCAGGCTCAGTAGTTGTGGCTCACGGGCTCTGGAGCGCAGGCTCAGTAGTTGTGACGCACGGGCTTAGTTGCTCCGCGGCATGTGAGAGCTTCCTGGACCAGGGCTCAAACCCATGTCCCCTGCATTGGCAGGCGGATTCTTAACCACTGCGCCACCAGGGAAGTCCTTGCTTTAGCAGTAGTAAGTTTTGTGTCTGTTAGATACTTGGAACTAGAATAGCCTCTCTTTCTCATTGATGAAAAATTTGAGAATTTTGATTCCTGTATACTTAGTAACTCTAGCTCTTGTATTTTTTTTTAATTTTATAAGTTTTATTGAGGTGTAATTTATTGAGCTATAATTCACATACCATAAAATTTACTCATTTAATAGGTATAATTCAATGGTTTTTAGGGTACTTACAGGGTCGAATCAATTTTAGAACACTTTATCACCCCAGAAGGAAATGCCGTACCCACTGGCAGTTAATCTCATTTTTACCCAGTCCCTCCAGCCCCTGGTAACCTATGGATTTGCCTGTTCTGGACATTTCACATAAATGGAATTGCACTAAGTGGGCTTTTGGGCCTGGTTTCTTTCACTTAGCATAATGGCTTCAGGGTTTATCCACGTCTTTCTCTTGGTTTTTCATCATTCTCTGGGATGGTACAAAATGCTAATGCTGGTCTGTCTCCCATCTCTGGACTAGAGGAATAGTTCACAGATACATTAAAGAGCAACAACAACAAAGCACTTCAGAGACTATCCTAGGTCTTCAGATGGGCCTCAATTGCAGTCACTTAAGGGAGATGGTTTTTGATCCCTGTATTAGTTCTCTATTACTGCAGAACAAATTACCCCCAGACATAACAGTTTAAAACAACATTTATTATCTCACAGTTTCTGTGGGTTAGGGGTCTGGGCACAGCTTACCTGGATCCTGGAACTCTGCACTTAGCTGGATCTTGTGACTGACTGCAGTCCTCTCAAGGCTCCGCCCCCTACCTCATTCATGTGGCTGTTGGTAGGATTCAGTTCTTTGCAGAAACCCCTCAGTTCCTTATGAGCTGTTGTGGGTGCTTTCCTTTGTGGGCCTCTCCATACAGCATGTCACAGCATGTCAGCTAGCTGCATCAGAGTGAGCAAGCAGGTGGGCGAGAAAGAGGGCCAGCAAGACAGAAGACATGGTCCCTCACACCCTGAGCACAGCATTGATGTCCCATCACTTGCCATATTCCATTCATTAGCAGCATGTCACCAGATCCACCGCACGCTCAAGGGGACGTGATCATACAGGAAGTGAATACCAAGAGTCTAGTATGACAGGGGGCGGGGGGGGGTGGCGTTTTAGAAGCTGCCTACCACAGTCTCCTACTCTGTTACTGAGCAGAAGTCTTCTGTATATGTTTGTGATGCCTCACCTGGTGTCTGAGAAGTGGATTGTTGATTTCCTCGATTGCGGAGATTCTGTGGCGAAAAGGCATCTGAAGTGTTCTTAGGAATATGGTAAAATTTGTTTTGTGAGAGAGCATTTGTGATAGTTAAAAAGGGGCTTGGAGGTCTCAAGCCATAAGTTGTAAAAACAAGATAGGGGAGAATACAAAGTGAGTTGGGTATTCTCTTCCCCACCCGTGCCCTCACCCCCAGTCTAGGTTCAGAGATGGGGGAAGATCAGCCAGCAAGACAGAGAAGAATCAAAGGAGGTGGGACTGGGGTTTAAATGGGTCCCTGATGTGGAGCCCGGCAGCACTGCCCCTTGGAGTTGCGGGGTACAAAGGGGCTGCAGCATGATCGAAACCCTGACTGCCCATCTCAGACGGACATTGGAAGATCTGAGGGCTGGAGAGACTGTTGTTTGCCTTGTGTGCTAATAATTTGTCAGCTAGTCTCTTGAGAGACTTTTCTGCTAAATTGGTACATCTTTTCTCTCCACCCTGAGATGACAGGATGACATTTAGTTTCATTTCCCTCATTTTTGTCTTGTGACATTTTGACAGGATAATTCGTCTTTGTTTGCTCCATCCCCACCCCCCAACCCCCAGTCCTCGGTCTTGGGACACCACTTGCTGGCAGTTGCTCTTCTTTTCTCTCCTTTTGCTCAATAGTTGTTTTCATGGAACCCTGCTGTGCCTCTTTAGTTCTTTAGAGCTTACTTTTGAAAATTGTCCCCTTTCATATTCTCACATCATTGTGACTCTTCTCTAGTTCCTTGACTTCTTTTTTTGATAGTGGATTCTAGTGTTCTAGTGCAGAGAACAGGGTGATAAGGTGAAATTGTGTCCTTTGCTTCTGATATAAACTTAAAGAAAAACCCATAAAATATTTCAGACTTGAAGAAAGTACAGAGAATAATAGACCAGAACACTCATGTACCTTCCACTTGGATTTATGAAGTACTAACCTTTCTTGTGTTACTTTGTGCCCCAGATTTTTAAAGAATTTATTTATCCACAGTATCCCTTTCAAAATATTGTATTGACGGACATGTTGGCTATTTGCATATTTTGCTATTATGAACACTGCTATGATGAATGTTTCCTTGTGCTTGTGGGCAAGAGTTTTTCTAGCCATAGATATCTTCAAAACAGACTTCTGTGGGGAGGTGGGGTGTGGGTGGAGGGAGAGAAATAGGTGAGGGGGATTAAGTGGTGCAGATCTCCAGTTGTAAATGAGTCGTGGGTATGAAATGTACAGTGGGGGGAATATAGTCAGTAATTATGTAATATCTTTACGTGGCGACATACTGTAACTAGACTTATTGTGGTGATCATTTTGAAATGTATAGAAATATCAAATCCCTCTGTTGTATTACAGTAACTAACATAGTGCTGTAGGTTGATTATACTTCAAAACCAACCAAACAAACAAGCCCATAAAAAAAGAGATCAGATTTGTAGTTACCAGAGACGAGGGATGGGGGGAAGGGGAATTGGATGAAGGAGGTCGAAAGGTACAAACTTCCAGTTTTAAGATAAATAAGTAATGTGATGTAATGTGCAATATGAATAATATAATGAACACTGCTCTATGTTATATATGAAAGTTGTTAAGAGTAGATCCTAAGGGGTTTTTTCATCATAAGAAAAACATTTTTCTTCTATTTTAAAAATTTTGGGGACTTCCCTGGCGGTCCAGTGGTTAGGCTCCGCTTTTTTTTTTTTTAATTTGCCACATGGCATGCGGGATATTAGTTCCTCCACCAGGGACTGAACCCGAGCCCCCTGAAGTGCAAGTGTGGAGTCCTGACCACTGGACCGCCAGCAACGTCCCTGATGGATATTTTCTAAAACTTACTAAGAATCATTTCATGCTATATGTAAGTCAAATCATTATGCTATATACTTTAAACTGATACAGTGCTGTATGTCAATTATATTCCAATAAAACTGAAAGAAAAAAGACTGGGTGATTGATAAGCAAAACCATAAGTGGCAAACACTTCTGTAGCATGTTGACAAAGAAATGTTACAGCCATTTTTCATAATGTTACATGAAATAGGGGAAAATGCCTTTTGTGACAGCCATTTAGATGGAAAAATGTTAACTCATGCTGCCTTTCACTTTTGGATTAATACTAGTGTGGCTTTTTTTTTTTTTTTTTTTTTTTTCCGAACAGATACTTGTATGACTAGAAGGAAAACTGATGGCATATTGGAATTAGCAAAACCTACTTTCATGTGATAATTTAAGAAAATATTCACCACATACTTCTCTTATTTTTCTCTGTGATATTGTTTATTCCTGTCTAGGGGTAATCAGCAAAACCCATATTTATTATGTGTCCTACTAATCTCTAAGCAAGAATTTTTTTAAAGCTTTTATCATGGAAAATTTCAAACACACACAAAAGTAGAGAACATAGTACTGTGAACCCTCAGGTATGCATCACCCAGCTTCAACACAATGGACTTTCTTTTCAGCAAGATTTTCAATTGTGACGCTAACATTAGTTTTATATTTAGAAGGTCTTATGTTCCGGATGACACAAAATTAACATTACTCATTTGGAGAATTATTTCAGTATTCCTTTGAGGTAAGTGGCAGTTGTTTAGAGGCCTTTTTATTACTGTTATTATTATTAGATTTAAAAGCTGTCCTTTTAATATAATTTTGCCAATTTATGGATGGATTGTGAGTTTCTTCTCTCCATTAGTTGCTCAGCGTAAAGGTCTGTTTGGCCAGTCTTCTCTTTAACAGGGAGATTGTCCACAAGCTTTGTAAAGTGTAACATAAGTCCTTCAAAATGCTTTGATACAAAAGTTAGGAAACCATTCTAAACACTTAGAGGACTCCATTTTAAAAATGAAACACAGGGAATTCCCTGGTGGCCTAGTGGTTAGGATTCTGGGCTTTCACTGCCGTGGCCCTGGTTCAATCCGTGGTCGGGAACTGAGATCCCACAAGCCGCATGGCACAGCCAAAGGGAAAGAGAGAAACACGGGTACAAGCTCGTAATATCCCCTGGTACTGCAGTGTTTGTGGAACTGTAGATCCAGGGACTGTGTAAATTCACTGTCTGAGCTGTACTGCATGAGTTTCTTGTGTGCTTGGATTCCAGATAGCAGTGGTCATGGGCTCCTGTACAGCAGGAGGAGCTTACGTGCCTGCGATGGCTGATGAAAACATCATTGTACGCAAGCAGGGTACCATTTTCTTGGGAGGACCTCCCTTGGTAAGAAGCTAGTTGTTTGTTTGTTTCTTTTTGGTAAGAACATAGTCTTGTTTGCTTACTTGCTTGATTGATTGAAGTAAAACATGCATAATATAAAATTTACCATTCTAACCATTTTTAAGTATACAGTGCTCTGGCATTAAGTATATTCACTTAGTTGTGCAACTCTCACCACCATCCATCTCCAGAATGTTCTTATCTTCCCAAACTGAAACTCTGTCCCCATTAAACACTAACTCCCTATTCCCCACCTCCTTCACTGCCCCGACAACCATGATTCTACTTTGTCTATGAATTTGGCTACTCTAGGAACCTCATTTAAGTGGGATCATATAATACCTGTCCTTTTGTGTTTGGCATATTTCACTTAGCAAAATGTCCTCAAGATTTATCCATGTTGTAACATGTTTCAGAATTTCCTTCCTCTTTAAGGCTGAATAATACTCCAATGTATGTACATACCACATTTTGTCTACTTATCCATCAGTGGACTGTTGGGCTGCTTCCACTTTGAGGCTATTTGGAATAATGCTGCTGTGACCATGAGTATACAAATACCTGTGTGAGTCCCTGCTTTCACTTCTTTTGGGTATATGCTCAGAAGTGGAATTGCTGAATCATGTGGTAATTCTATGTTTAAATTTTGGAGGAATCACTTCCTTCGTCTTTACGGCTGAATAATATTCCATTGTATGGATAGGCTGCATTTTGTTTATCCATTTATCGGTTGATGGACATTTGGATTGTTTCCACTTTTTGGATATTATGAATAATGCTCCTATGAACATTCATGTATAAGTTTTTATATGGGTATGTTTTCATTTCTATTGGGTATAAACCTACAAGTACAATTTCTGGGTTATATGGTAGCTCTAAGGTTAACATTTTGAGGAACAGCCAAACTGTCCAGAGCATATTTTACATTCTTGCCAGCAGTGTGTGAGGGTTCTGATTTCTCCACATTCTCTCCAGCACTTGTTATTGTGTGTCTGTTTGACGGTAGCCATCATAGTGGGTGTGACATGGTACCTCACTGTGGTTTTGATTTTCATCTCCCTAATGGCTAATGATACTGAGCATCTTTCATGTGCTTGTTGGCTATTTGTGTATCTTCTGTGGAGAACTGTCTATTCAGATCCTTTGCCCATTTTGTAATTGGGCTCTTGTCTTTTTATTGAGTTGTAAGAATTCTTCATGTGTTCTGGATACAAGTCTCTTATCAGATGTATGATTTGCAAATATTTTCTTCTGTGGGTTGTCTTTTCACCCTCTTGATGGTATTTTCCTTTGAAGCATAAACATTTTAAATTTTGATGAAGTCCAATTTTTATATTTTTTTCTTTTTTTTTTTTGCTTGTGCTTTTGGTGTCCTATCTGTGAAGGTATTGCCTATTCCAAGGTTGCAAAGATTTAATCCTTTGTTTTCTTCTAAGAGTTTTATAATTTTAACTCTTACGTTTGGGTCTGTGATCCATTTTGAGTTGTTTTTTGGTGCGGTTTCAGGAAGGGGTTCGACATTTTTCTGTACGTGGACATGCAGTTGTCTCAGCATCATGTGTTGAAAGGACTGTCCTTTCCCCCTTGAATGGTGCTGGCTGAAAGAAAAATACTTTTACTTATCTTTTCTTCTACTCAAGGTCAATAACAAACCAATACATTGTTAAGTGAAAACAGCAAGGTGCTTACACATAGTGTGTTAACTTTTGCGTAAAGTGGAGGGGGGGAATTATACATTTGTAAGCTTGTATATGCATGAAGAAACTGAAAAAGATAGAGTAAATGTTGTTTAAAAGCAGAGGAGATGAAGCCGGGTGGGAGAGAGACCTTTGACTTTCCGAGTCTTGTGAAAACATCTTTTCAAAAGGTTAAGTCCCCCCCAACCAAGAAAAAAGAGTTAGAATAGCTATGAGTGGTGCTCTAAACTTTTAATACTAGCAAGCTTTATGGATCGCTGGTAGGGCAGCTACATGATTTGCAGACCCCAGTGCAAAATGAAAATATGGAACCCTTTGTTCAAAAAGGAGAAAACTACTGTAAAAGATACTAAAATATGAAACATGTTCCCTTCTTCTGTGCTCTGTCTACCAGTCATGGTGTTTTTATTTGTTATTTAATGACAGGCCCCACCCCACCCCTGCCCCCGCCCCCGCCAGGCATCTCTACTTCCCATGGGCCCACCATGTCCCCAAGGAGGTGCTGCCTCCATGTGAGAATGTGCTTGGTACCCAGATGGGGAACGAGCAAAAGCCTAGCCCTTAGCATCCCCCCCCCCAGCTCCCCCTCCCCCAACACGCAGAGTGGGCTGTTGGAGAGCACACCTCAGCAGCACACCTCAGCACTGCCAGCCCAGGACAGTGATGGGGCTGCCATGCTCTTCCCTGAGACACCATGGGGGGCACACCTGACCTCTGATCCTCCCTACACCTGTGTCAGGCCCCCACTGGGGGGGGGGTGTACCAGGTGCTAGGCAGGGGTGGGGAGGAGAAGGTAGGGCAGGACCCAGGGCCCAGGCACCAGTCAGCAGGGAAGCGGGGAGCCAAGAACCCATCCCAGGGAGATGGGGGGAGGCAGACTGCACAAGATCTGAGGCTCTAAACCTCAACACACATGCTCCGTTGTCCCATCAGACTTCACTTACAGAACACAGATTCAAAGATAAAGTTAGTTAGACTTTCACTAGGGTGACCACTGAGCATTAAACTCCAAGCACAGGGCCCTTCTGAGAGTGGGACCCTGTGCAACTTCACTGGCCACCTGCCCGTGATGCAGGCACTGAGGACTGGATTATGTCGTCCTCGGCTCTTCCTCATCTCTCCTTTGGACACCTCCATTGTGATTTTCAGGAAAGCAGTTGTCACCCTGCTTTGCTTATGTCACAACATGATCCTAGACTTCAGAGTGATAAAGAGAGGCTGGGTGAAGACACAGGTAATTTCTACTGGTTACAACAAAACATCCCATTACGTAAGTAAAATCCAAGAATATTAAACAGGTAAAAAGAATAATGTCAAGGAACTTCTAAAGCTATAATAAACCTACAAGTGGAGTAATTCAGCCATAAAAAGGAAAGAAGTTTTGACACATCCTACAACATGGACAAACCTTGAAAACATTGGGCCAGACACAAAGAACAATTATTGTATAGTTACCCTTCTATGAAATATGTAGAATAGGCAAATTCATAGAGACCGAAAGTAGATTAGCTGTCGCCAAGGACTGGGAGGGGGTAGAATGGGGAGGGACTGCTAATGAGTATGGGGTTTCTTTTGGGAGCGATGAAATGTTCTGGAATTAGGTGGTGGTGATGGTTGTTATACAGCCTTGTTAATATAATAAAAAACACTGAATTGTATTCTTTTAAATGGTGAATTTTGTGGTATGTGAATTATATCTTAAAAAGTAAGTTTATTGCTTCAAAAGTCTATCAAAGAATTATCTAGTTTTGGAATATTAACTCAAGTTTATTAAAAAGAGTATATTAAAAGATGTTATACTTTGATGTTAAATAAGTGTATTTTCCAAATGATTGTGTTAATTTTTAATAACTTTTACTGAGGATCAGATAAACCTGAAGAGCTGCCTTTTCAAATGAATTAAAAGTCTCAAGGCATTATTCAAAACCCCTGCAGCATAATATGAAATATTATTCTTCAATATTTCTCTAGCTATGTGTGATAGCAATCGTTGGTTAATTTACCTATGCGTAGTAAACTTTCCTGGGTAATTCTTGTTTATTTTTCACTAGAGAATAAGTAAAGATACGACTAAAATTTTAAAACATCTTTTTGGGAATATAGGTAGTATCATAATACTGAAATAATGCTAACTGTTTTCAAGAGAAGATTTTGTCTAAAGGTCAGCATTACAATGTCTATTCAGTGGATTCAGATTTAACTTGTGCCTTAGAAAGAAGCAACGTAGCAGCTGAAGTCTGCAGTTCTGTTAGAGAACTAAACCTTGTTCAGTAGTCTACCATCAAAAGGCTGTATTTACAGGCAGAAAAAGAAGCAGCAGCAGCCTTACCTGCTTGAGAATTCTAAATTTTGATGCTTGTTTCACTGAAAATTGAGAAAAGGCTTTGTAGGTTTCACACATAATGTGAGGTTGTAGCTTTCAGTAGTTTAACGTGGTTGGAAAAAATGCATACTAATAAGGTAAATTTTTTTAACTTTTTATTTTATATTGGAGTATAGTTGATTAACAATGTTGTGGTAGTTTCAGGTGTACAGCAAAGTGATTCAGTTATACATATACATGTATCTATTCTTTTTCAAATTCTTTTCCCATTTAGGTTGTTACATAGTATTGAGCAAAGTTCCCTGTGGAATAAGAAAAATTTTTGAAGGAGTTTTTTAGTTCTCCTACCTTTTGTTTATCATCCGAACTTGTTATTTAATAGAATGAGCAGCTTTCATTTACTCTTTGACTTTTATCATCTTTATACCTATCACAGTTTCAAACATGTTGTGGGTGTTCCATAGATATTAACTGATGACAAATCTTTATTTTTTCAGTTGATATCAGTCAGTTACCTGAAAATGAATTATCATATGTCAGACGTTTATTCGTTTTTACAACTTTAAATATCCAGACACCTCTTATAAGTAGCTATTGTCTGGACTGAATGTTATTTTACACCAAATTTTTTGGGAAGAAGAGAATCAAGAATTTAGTTCTGGGGCTTCCGTGGTGGTGCAGTGGTTGAGAGTCCGCCTGCTTATGCAGGGGACATGGGTTCGTGCCCCGGTCCGGGAAGATCCCACATGCCGCGGAGCGGCTGGGCCCGTGAGCCATGGCCGCTGAGCCTGCGCGTCCAGAGCCTGTGCTCCGCAATGGGAGAGGCCAGAATAGTGAGAGGCCCGTGTACCGCAAAAAAAAAAAAAAAAAAAGAATTTAGTTCTGGGGGTGCATAATTGGAGGTGAAAAATTTAATTACCTGGAATAATATTTTATTTAAGACAGAGCTTTTGATGTAGTGAATAAGTCATTTCTATGCTGTATTTTAGATTAGTGTTCATTATTCTCATAAAAGCTTTTCTTTTATTACTTGAAGAAAAAGAAACAAATCGACCAACCCAAAGCAGTAGGAATCAATAAATTATTCCTAAGGGGTCAGGTTGACATTTAGCATTAAATGATTTTTCTTGCTTTTTCTTGTTCGAATTTCTCAGGCTATAATTGTCATTCTTTTTTAAAATTATTATTAATTAATTTATTTATTTTTAGCTGTGTTGGGTCTTAATTGCTGTGCGTGGGCTTTCTCTAGTTGTGGGGAGCGGGGGCTACTCTCTGTGCGGTGCACGAGCTTCTCATTGCGGTGGCTTCTCTTGTTGCGGAGCACGGGCTCTAGGTGAGTGGGCTGCAGTAGTTGTGGCTCATGGGCTCTAGAGCACAGGCTCAGTAGTTGTGACGCACGGGCTTAGTTGCTCCACGGCATGTGGGATCTTCCTTGACCAGGGATCAAACCCGCGTCCCCTGCATTGGCAGGCGGATTCTTAACCCATGCGCCACCAGGGAAGTCCCTATAATTAAGTCATTCTTAATTTGTTACTTAAGGTTTCTTTCTTTTTAGTCATATTATGCTGAATCTTAGATGTGGGTAATCATGGAGATTTTTTCCCCCCATCTTAAAGATATTATACCTTTAAGAGTTTGTTTTTGACAGTCACTGGAATTTTTCAGCAAAGGTGAAAAAATAGCATTACTTCAATATATGTATTGTGTCCAAAGATGAATAAATCACAGTTTCTGCTATCAAGGAACTCACAGTATAGAGGAGATGACAGAGACACATGCAGATTACTGACATATAGTCTGGTAGGCGCCATGTTGGAGGTGTAGGTGGAATGCTCTTGAACCACAGATGAGCAAACATTGCTCTGTTAAAAGCATGGAGTGTCGTTAATGGTTAAAAGGCCTGGGCAGGTCAGGGAAAGCCACACAGAGCAGATAGGGCTTGAAGGATAATTGGGGATTCACCGGGTGGTTGAGAGGGAGAAGGGAGCCCAGCAGTAGGATCAGCATGTGCACAGACACAAAGGCTTTAACGTGGGTGTGGAGGCAGAATAATGTAGGGGAAAGAGAGTGTGCTTTCAGACCAGGAATGTCTGGGTTCAGATCAGGTTCCATCCCTCGCTCAGAGGCTGTGGGCAGGTTCCTTAGTGACTGTGGGTTCACATTTCTCATCGGTAGACTAGAGACAATATTATCTAGGTTTACCTAGGTGGGTGGGATGAGAAACAAAATGTCTAGTTCTATGGAAGAAAGAATGGTAGATATAATCAGGTTAAGAGGTGTGTAGGACAGCATTTTAATACGGTAATTCCCCTACATACGAACTTTCAAGTTGAGAACTTTTGAAGATGCAAACGTGCCCCTGTATGCCAGCTGTTGTACTGTACTACTGTACTTTTCAAGGTACTGTACTGTAAGATTAAAAATATTTTCTTTATTTTTTGTGTTTGTTTGTTTTTTATGTATTATTTGTGTGAAAAGTATTATAAACCTATTGCAGTATAGTACTGTATAGCCGATTGTGTTAATTGGATACTTAGGCTAACTTTGTTGGACTTAACGAACAAATTGGATTTACGAACGCACTCTCAGAACGGAACTTGTTTGTTTGTAGGAGACTTTACTGTATCTCTGATGGAGAAAACTCACCATTGACTTTTATCCTTGTTGTAGGTTAAAGCAGCCACTGGAGAAGAGGTGTCAGCTGAGGATCTCGGAGGTGCTGATCTTCACTGCAGGTGAAACAGAAGCAGTTGTTTCTTTCCAGGATTGATTGTCACTTGTTTGTTTAAAAGAAGTGTTAAATTATTTTTTCCAGGTGTTAAACTTGCCAGATCAAACCAGTTTATTTGTTCTAGATCCACTCTTTTAGGGTCCAATTCTTTTAGAGTTCCGTTTCTAAGCAAGAACATCAACTTTTTCATTATAGCCTAGAAAGACTGGAGAAACAGGTTTCTTATTTATTTAACAAACATCCATTGAGCACCTGTTATGTGCCAGGCACTGTTTAGGTATTTGAGATGATAAGATAGACATTGTCTTTGATCTCAAGAAGCTTATAGTCTAGTCAAAGAGGTGGGCAATAAAGAAATAATCAGCAAAAAATTATATAAATATGTATACATGATAAGGGCTACAAAGAAGTATAGGCATATAGAAGGTGGGGCTAACCCAGTGGTGTGCAGGCATTATGCCTTTGTTTAATTAACACTTGTTAAGTGGAGCACAGGATGCTGGATGGTGAGCCGTGGTTCAACAACAGACCACAAGAGAATTTGAAATAGAGAAGTTTATCAGTCACAGGTTCTGGAGGAAGTACACAGCACACCTTGAGGGGCCACATGAGGCGGTCTAGGCAGAGTGCCCAGAGAGAGAGACAGGACCTGGGTACGTGTTTTTATTAGGGTCCATGGTTGGAGTGCTTTGGGGTCCCCTGACTACAGCTCGATTGGTCGATCAAATCAGAAGATTGGGGTATTGGTAAGTTCCATGGGGATTTTATCTAAGCATACAGGTGCAGAGAGGCAGGGGAGACTGTTGATCTTAAGAGCTGTTGGGGAAGTTATATGAGGACTTACATTTGCTTGTGACTGAGCTGCTATCTAGGGCTTGCTTGACGAGCTAGTGTCCATTTAAGGTCCATGCAGGCTGCTTGCAATGCTGGGGAGTAGCTTAGCTGAATGCTCAATAGCAGGTAAATGCTTAGCTGATTCACTGAGGAGGGAAAATGTCCTGCTTTGTGGCATCTGCCAATATCTGTGGTATGAATTATCCCGCCATAGCTGATTTTAAGCTACCAGCGGGACACCACTGAACATGGAATCAGGAAGAGATGCACACAGCTGGCCCTTGTGAGTCAGGCATGAGCCGCTCCTTCACATTGCTGGTCTTCCCATTTCAGGTTAGAGTTCAGGAGTAAGAAGATCATCTACCTCCTAGAATTTTGTGAGAATTAAATGAGATGGTATGTGTAAATTGCTTGAAACAATACCTGCTTTAAAATAAGTACCTGTAATTGTTAACTGCCATTATTATTATTGTTTATCATCGTAATTGGTCATTCAATGTTTTGGACTTTTTCTTTTATGAGCAATTAGGAAACCATCGAAGAGTTTTAAGGAGAGTTTGTGCTATTATTAAACATTTCATTAGAAAAAAAAAATCCCTCTGTCTGCTAAATGGAGAATGAATGCTTAGAGGGTTGGCAGTAGTGTGTGTGAGGGACCAGTTGGGTGGTTGTATCAGTAGCATACAACTATTGCTAGAGTTGGCTGAGAGGTGCCGGTGGCTTAGATAATTATGGTGGTAGTGAACGGAGGACGGGAGTAATCAGATTTGTGCTCTATTTTAGAGGTGGAATTGAGGGACTTGTTGATGGATTTCATCTATGGGGCACAGGAAAGTGAGGTGACAAAGATGATGACATGAAATGGTTTCATTTCCTGAGATTGGGAAGACAGGAGGAGAGGCAGAGTTGGGGATAGGGCAGGGGGATCAAGTGTTGCTTTTGAACCTGCTAAGTTAGAGATGATCCAGACATCCAAGTAGAGATGCTGAATAGGCAGTTAACTGTAAGAGTCTGGAGCCTAGATCTGTGCTCAAGAACCATCAACATGGAGGTGGAATTTAAACCATAGGACTAGGTGAGCTCACCTTGAGGTGAGTGTAGATAAGGAAGAGGGCCCAGAACTAGACCCTAAAGAACCCAGACATAACTGACAGGTAGATCTAATCATTGAGCTCAGTGGCCTGGGAGGTGCAGTAAACCTTTCTTTGCTTTGCCAAACCATAAACCAGGGAGGCAGGTGACTGTGGGAGCAGTCCAGTAGGTGGAAGACGGAAAATAGGTACAACATTTCCACCCTCCTATCAAAGAACACTGCCTTGCCTTTTGAAGAGTTGGCTAAGGAACCTACCTTTGCCTCAGTTTTTCATTCACTCCTTTCTTTTTGAGCACTTATTTGTGGATAGATTGATTGTACTAAGTGTTATGAATAATCCAGAAAAATTTCAGGCCTAGTCCCTGCCGTCAAGGATTTATAATTTAACTCGGCAGATAAGAGATATAAATGAACTAAAAAACAATTACAAAACAAATAAGCTATTATGCTTCCAGTTTTACAACTAGAGGCAAAAGGAGGAATGATTAAGGGAAGAGCTGGAGCAGAATTGAGGTAGGCAGAGAGAAGCTTCGAGAGCTTGAGTTTTCTGCCTGGGTTTAAACAGAAGACTTGCTTATTTTGGTGAACACTACTGTGAGCAGAGATGCAGCATTTCTCTCTTATCTGGTCATTTACTGTCCAGTTCAGGGAGACAGTGAAGTAGATGTTTCAGCCTGGAGAGAGAGAGGATGCAGGTAGAATAGAAACAGGACAAAGTGGGCTGCCACTGTTTGTAGGTGCTTAATCAGGGGAAGGAGATGAAGATAGTATTTGAGGAGCATTAATTAAAAAAATTTTTTTGACAGTTTAAAAAAAGTCACCTGGTGCCCGTAAAAGCTGTAGGTGGTATATCAAGTTAGGCATGTAGGTTCTAGGATTCATCTTCCGTTTGCCTCACTTGTTACCCTTGTGACTAGACAAACTACATAACTTCCCAGAGCCTCATTTCCTCTTCTGTAAAATGAAGATATGAATAATTCCTGCGTCACAGCAGTGTCTGTGGCATACTAAGCGCTCTATTACTTTTAGCCATCATCATTCATAGTAGCCTGTTTCAAATCATGGGACAGTGATTAGATGGTGATGGCTTTTTTGGGAACAGTGTCATAAAATTTACTAGGCACAACTTGCTCTGGGTTCTCTCTGTCATTATAAATATGTATTTGTACATCGCCGATTCGTCATCCTTCGTAGTTAATTTGACACAAAGCTTTACATAGTAGTGTCTCATCAAAAATTTTCCCTTTCCTGTTGTTTTGGTAAATGCTAGACAGTTTTTAAAAGAAGGCATTTTAGGACTTCCCTGGTGGCACAGTGGTTAAGAATCCACCTGCCAATACAGGGGACACGGGTTCGAGCCCTGGTCCGGGAAGATCCCACATGCCACGGAGCAACGAAGCCCGTGCGTCACAACTACTGAGCCTGCACTCTAGAGCCCGCGAGCCACAGCTGCTGAGCCTGTGCTCTAGAGCCCGCGAGCCACAACTACTGAGCCTGTGCTCTAGAGCCCGCAAGCCACAACTGCTGAGCCCGCGCGCCTAGAGCCTGTGCTCCACAACAAGAGAAGCCACCACAATGAGAAGCCTGTGCACCACAACAAAGAGTAGCCCCCACTCTCCACAACTAGAGAAAAGCCCATGTGCAGCAACGAAGACCCAATACAGTCAAAAATAAATAAATAAATAAATAATTTTTTTTTTAAAAAGGGCATTTTATTTTAAATATTTACTGATTTGGAAGCAGTCCCTTCTGCTTTTCTTTGCTTACTGAGTTACTACGGTGTAGCTAGAAGTCAGCAATTGTAGCTGGTATTTGTGAATCATTTGGAAGACACGGTCAGTTGTAAAATGTCCTACCAAATTAAAGAAACTGAAGGGTCTGCTATTTGCAAAGGGCTGGAGGAACACACATGGTCCTTGCTCTTATTGAGGAACACCCAAGCCCGAGGTGGACAGTGACGTGAAACCACTGTGAGAGCCCAGTTCTAAGATGTGTCCTAAGGATTTGGTGTGTTCCTTAGACAAGACATCAAAATTTAGATGGCGGCAGCTTAGTTCTTGCTCATAAAATGAACTAAAATTCTGTGTTTTCAGGGGTTGTGTGTGTGTGTGCGCACACACACACACATATATAT